TCGTTTTAGGAAATTGAGCTTCAATGTCGTCATGACCGGGAAGAAGCCAAACACCTGGCCAGAAAATCTTAGATAAATTTATATCCCTCATCAGTAAGAAATGGGGGCGGCTAATATGCTTTTGTATATGTGGCAGCCAATCGCAACAACGGTTTAATGGCCTACGGTAGATAATACCTACTATCAGTTCTGCGCGTCTGAAGCGGATTGTGCACCACAGTTGCTCGTAAAAGCTATCGTCGCTCCGATAGGTGCTGATAAGTTTGCCAGCTAGTGACGAGTTGAAGTACAACAGAACACCACAGTGAGATTTTGATTTTCGGTCGCATGGGAAGCAAGAGTATCCTGACAAGGCGACTTCTTGGAGTACGATGTCGGAGTTCAACCAAGTCTCTGCAAGTCCTAAGACGTCTGGTCGCTCGGAGAGAGTGAAACGTCACAATTCGTCACATTTGTTCATTAGGTCGCACATGTTGGCGAATGCCACACGGAGGTCCTACAGGGCACGGCGGGACGTGCCTGAAGGTTGAGCAACCGGTTGATACGGGTTCGTACACCTTTCTTGATCACCCGAAAAGTTATAATGTGCAAGTCAGCCTCAAGGAGCACATTCTTCAAACGATCCCTGTCTTCGGATTCCAAGTCTCGGCGGATGTGAAATTTTATACCATTTAGCCTTGACAGACGAGACAGTATGAGCTGCGGCATATTGTGATTAGTAAAGGTAATTCTCAGAGGTCGACATGCCTGGTTAGTTTTCTGGCCAAGTCGGACTCATTGTTCCATCGTCACATTGTCTTCACCCAGATCCAAGAGCCTACCAATGAGCCCCTGGAAGTATTCTACATCGTGTACATAATGTAGCTGAGGAATTTCATTTTTTGACACTGGGGCGTGGAAGACCATGAGATTATGACACCTCAGAAAAATCAGTGATGAAGCTGTGGGAGCAAGACGCGCTTATCGGTTTGAGCTGCTGTTTACCAGCAGGGGGCACCTGAACTCGGTTACGTGACCCCTTGCGCTTTATAGTGGTCCATAGATCCTCAATGTTCAGGGGGTTCAAAGACAGGCTCTGAGAAGAGGCAACATAAATAGCGTGTATATCTCGAATATATTTTGAATTTTCATCGGTTCACCGATCTGAGTAATTTAACGGCATTCACCACTTCGCTCAGTGGCATCTTCAGTGCACTGCTGCGTAGAGGAAAACCTCACGGAAAGTGATCGAAATTGGCCTCGTCGATCCGCGTCCCGTGACCACCGTTCATTCGAGTTTCGACTGCCCAGTTTCATGCTTTCTCCGCTGTAGGTACACTTTATCGAGGTCAATGCGGAGGTTCATTGAATTCTCTGTAGAGAACCATGCCTCGAGGAATTCGCTTCCTTTTCTTGTCTCTCCGCACGCCGGAATTTCCGTCTTATTCCAGTTAACGTTGTGTTTTTCCTCATCGAGGTGCGCTGAGATTTGTGACGACGCATACTGGTATCGATATGCGCGCTTGTGCTCTTGTGTTCCTGTAGATAGCTTTCGCACCGTTTGACCCACATAGTCTTCATCACAGTTCTCGCACTGTATCTATTAGTCGACATTTCGGCGTTCGTGTTCTTCCAGTTTTCATTTAGGTCTAGGCAAAATTCCCTACAGTCTCAGTTTGCATGTGAGCTACCATCAGGTTGTGTGGCTTGAGGAGTCTGGCTCTTCCCCGATACGTTTTCTAAAGTACGGCAAGGCGGCACATTTCCCATTGTTGGTGCAGGTGCGGTAGTTGTGCTCCTTTGATTCAGGTGTCTTCGGATGAAACTTCGTGGGTGGCCGTCGCGAATGAAGCATGTCGCAGAAGTCGGTCCTTCAAGGACAAAAGATTTATTCAGCAAAGCGAGCTCAGCAAAAGTGACAGCCTGACCAACAGGTGGGGAGCTCAAGATAAATAAGTTATTTCCATTACTAAAAACGCTGCCGCACTCATGAGATACTTCTGTTGAATCAGTTAAACAAACCGCTCCAGCGAACCAATCAGCGCGCAGCCGAAATATGCGCAGGCGTCTAAGCAACTGCTCTGTTCGCATAGTGCAGGCTTGCCGCTTTCTTGCACAATCCTATCACAAAAGACATAAACAGATGTTCCTTTTCCTTTCGTTTCGCCTCCGCAGTATTGCAATGTAATTCTGTCCTACGAAACAGCTTATTTTGTGATATTTAGGGTGACTGCTGTTGAAGTACAGGATTTAGTCGCTTTTCTGTAATTCGTCTTCCACTCTTCTGGTAACCAGCACGTCCAGAAAGGGTAGTTGGTTTTCCACCTATTCTTCCATGGTAAAATGAATACCTTCCATTAGATTGTTAAGTGAGTCCTGTGCGGTCTATAGCTGGCTGCATTTGAGAATTACAAACGTAGTACACCCATAAGTTCGGACGAATGACCGGGAGTAAATCCTCTTCTAACCTCTGGATGAAGACCTCCAGCATAAGTCCAGATATGGGGGGATCCCATTGGAGCTCTTCTCACTTGCTCGTAAAACACTAGGTTGAATTTGAAACAGGTGGTAAGACACATGTCGAGGAGTTTACATATGCTTTTAGTTGTCAGATTCCCAGTCATCTGTCCTCCACTGTTCGGACGTTCTATGACGTTTTCCTTCGCTATCTGTAAGTCGATAGAGGTGAAAAGTGCTATGACGTCAAAGGATACCATCACTTCTTTATGGTTTATCCGCATGCATTTGAGCATTTCCAAAAAGTGATGAGCATTATTGACCGGGTACTGCCATCCGCTGGTCAGGTGTGTGAGGTGTTTCTATAATTCTGTAGCCACATTGTAAGTTGGTGTACCTGGAAATGACACTACTGGACGTAGCGGTGCACCCACTTTGTGTAGTTTCAGAAGCTCGTAAAGCTGTGTGATATTTAGCTCACGAGCCTTCATCATATGCTCTCCCTTGGTGAGTTGATTTAAATCTTGAAGTTTCTTAAGTGTCTTATTCACTTTATTTGTCAACCGTACTGTTGGATGGTTCTCTAAGCGTGCATGTCGATACCGTTATGCGTCATCACAGATCTCAGCGCACCTCGATGAGGAAAGACACAACGTTAACTGGAATAAGACGGAAGTTCCGGCGTGCGGAGGGACAAGAAAAGGAAGCGAATTCCTCGAGGCATGGTTCTCTACAGAGAATTCAATGAACCTCCGAAATGACCTCGACAAAGCGTACCTACAGCTGAGAAAGCATGAAACTGGGCAGCCGAAAATCGAATGAACAGTGGTCACGGGACACGGATCGACAAGGCCAATTTCAAATGTTACGTCTCGACGACACTTTCCGTGAGATTTTCCTTCACGCAGCCGCGCACTGAAGATGGACTGAGCGAAGTGGTGAAACGTTTACCACTATGTTACTCAGCCCGGAGAACCAATCAAAACCATAACTATCGACCAGAGCTACAGAAACTCCGAATTTATATTACTTTTTGGTGCTTATAGTTTATATTTTATATCTTATCTTTTTGTATAGCGGTACATCGGCCGTTCGCAACCTCAGACAATGTGTAATGATGATGTAACAGCAGAACCCGCAGTTGAAGTTGTCAAAGATTCATCCCAAAAGATGTCCATCAAACGCACCATGAACGGAAAGACAGTAAAGACGCACATAAACCAAGCTGGAATTTGCTAAACTTTATAGCTTTGGTATTCCATCATTCGATCACATCCTAGATGGCATAAGAGGACGAGAGCAGAGCCATTAGAGAGCAAGGATATGGGAGATGCGGGTTTTGAAGGATACGGTGACCTTCGCCGTGAATATCATCGTCGACCGGGAACTAGCATCGATCCGACTCGTTTGAGGGTTGAATGTATCAAAAACTCATATATTTGGCGGTCAAATTCAAAGGAGGCGCTACTCAAATAACGATTGACAAATAAAGTGAATTGATCTCAAGTTCCGCAGCGAAGTAAATTATTCGATCGAGCTGCTCAATGTGCAAGTCCAGTGCTGAATGCTATCCTGTGGTGATCGAAGTACCCAAACATATACCCGGGCCATGTGAGGTGTATCATCAAACTTTCCGGATAGTGCTCTGAGCAGCAAACACCATCAACGGAGTGAAGTACATCACTAACCTTAGCAAGGCCTTTGAATTCGTAGGACACAAAGCTTCACATAGAAAGGCTCAGAGTAAACGATAGGGTACGATCGATTTTCGACCTTCACATGTTAGACATGCTGCCATAAGGAAATAGCTAAAAGCACACGCCAACCGAAAGCCAGCGGATAGTTCGAATCCACGTAGGGACTACGATGCGGAGTTTACAAGACTACTCATTGAACTGATGGATCAAAGCGACGAATATCACGGCGCGTTGGAACTGATGAAATAATATGTTGGGCCAGAATATCTTGCGTTGAAAACCGAAATGCGAACAAAAAATCAGGAATTTCGGAGCAGCTAGTTGTAATGAAAATAGTACCAGTGAATAGATCAGGAGGATTTTTACTTGGGAACACATCAGCTGTAAAGCAGCAAAAGCCATTGAAGCCAGTTGGATGCTGTTAGCCGATTTGACTAAGCTGTGCTGAAGCGAATTCTCTCAACTGTCAAATGTGCAACAAGCGAATGGACCGGCAAATTTGATTTTCAGAGCAAGATTTGTGTGAACAAAGCCGCTGGTAAACCCATCATCAAAGGAAAACAAACCAGATGCTAGTCCGCATGCGCAAAACCCAGCGGACTGACTGTGGAAAACTGGGCAGCAATAAGAAGGAGACCCTGATTTGATGTGAGGACATCATCGAATCGGATTGGGAATACCCAGTTTGTCTTTCACAAAACAGTGGAGTATGCCAGCTGTCAGTGTGATGCAAAAACATGCAGATGACGGCGCCGCTGGGGATAACATATAAGCGGAAGTAGGCCGAAGCATATGGAGCAATAGGGCAGCAATGAAAGGTGTTACTGATGAAAGAAACAATTTGAGTAGAGAGAGAGGTAGACTCACCGCGTTTCACCTGTTTACAGGATGTCATTTCCCAGCTACAAAACGCGCAGCACGGTGAACAGCCTAACCCACTGTATCCGCTGCTCGCGCACCCACAACTGCTTTCGCTACATCCGCTTCCTGTTGTAGCGTCGTCAAGAGTGGTGCAGCGGGAAGAGCAACCAGAAGACTGTCCGAACACACCGCTGCCGTATTCGCTCGTCTCTGAGGCGGCGGAGGACACAGGTTTGGTTGGCACATCGATGCTGGGGTACTCTGTAGAGCAGCGAGATGGAGTTGAGCAGGACAACACCTTAGCAACGGGCTGTGGAACTAGGATGGGATAAACGGGTGAATACAAGGAAAGAAGTAAGATAGGTGGGATACATTGGAGCCCAAGGTAGAAAGAATATTATTGGAGGGGACGCAAGACGCCTAATACCCTTAGCGACAGTAAAGGGACACGGGTGGCATTAGCATTGATCGAGTGGGTTTTAGGACAAACAGATAATGTGCATGAAATATCGTCAGTGAAATACGACCACATTCTTACGCAGTGCGAACGTTGCTGACTGACAATAATACCGAGTGCATTGTGCACAAATGTATATCCAACCATTGACAGACGGGTTAATGTAGGGCCGTATTCGGAGAAAATTGAAAATTTTTGAATGAATTGAAGATACACGTAAATAACCAAATGCCTTAGCAACAAGGCCTAATCGGCGAAATATGGTGGAGATTTAAACCATGTTCTTATTGATTCTATACAAAAGTAAATATCGTCGAAAAATGTAAACTTGTAATCGGGCTGGGGATAACATTGGGAATGACGTTGATGGCGGTGGTGGTTTACCAAGGAATAGGTTGAGGTGGCCGTAGGATAACGAATAATATGTCCCACTTCACAACAGCAGCAAGACAAATCAACAATCGTTAGACAAATATCAGATGTCAGCACTAAGCTAAGTAAAATGACCAGTTAATCGGGTTGAATTAAGAGATGCAAGTATCAAAAATAGAAGTATTCAGAAGTAAGTTTCAGGACAGAAGTGTGTTAAGGAAAATCAAACCAATTGTTAAAACTTTCTAAGGATACACATGTATGTCTAGACGTGTGAAGCTCCTACGGAACTCGAGTGCCTGGAGTGCAATATGAAAGATGTCTGCAGTCTACTCGCCAGTCTTGACGGCACGAAGCCTGCCGCACCCGACGGACTCCATCTGCTAATTCTAAAGTCCCTATCGACTATCATCACACCTGCCGTGACTGATTTGTCCAACAGATGGTTGTCTGAGGGTGTATTGCCGAGCGACTGGAAATTCTCGGTAGTGAAGCCGATCACAAAGCGCGGTGACGCGACTAAGGTGGAGAATTAAAGACCAATTTGTCCGACCTCTATTTTGGCGAAAGTGCCCGAGAAGATTGTGAAAAAGGGTCTTTTGCAGGCATTAGAGTCGCAAGATATCCTAACGCCCGCATAGCACGGTTTCACAAAAGTCCGCTCCTGCATCATCAACCTGCTGTTGATGCGGCACGGATCGTCGTGTGTTGAACCGGGAAAAAAGGTAGATGTTATCTAAATTGATTTCAGTAAAGCTTTCGATAAAGTGAAGCACGAGATCCTCTTCTACAAATTGAGGATAGGTGTTGGTGGCGCACTGTACCAGTGTATCAGTGACTTCTACACTGGGAGAAAATGGTGAGTACAGGTGAATAACCACTTAACGGACAGGTACCCCACCAATAGCGGAGTACCTCAAAGCAAAGTGCTGGGGCTTATGCTATTCCTGATCCACATCAATGAAGTACTTCAGCTTCTTCGGTCACCCTGTGCAATGTTTTCAGACGACCTGAAGATTTGGAGGGTTATTGATTCTCCCGAGGACTGTGAGCTCCTTCAGTAGGACTTGGACCGCCTGTCCTCGTTGTCTGCAGAAGTTGACCTACTGGTTGACCTCGTCAAGTCATCATTTATGCGTCTGGGGAAGGATGGCCACTCTTTGCACCCGACAAACTCCGTAAAGGATCTAGGTGTACTCTCATGCTGTGATCTGAAGTCCATCAACAACACGAATAGACTGTACGGAAGCGGACAACATCTGCTTTGAGCACTTAGACGCAGTTTCTGCACTTGGTCTGAAGAGATTTTCACCCGTCTGTTCCCTTCCGTGATAAGACTGATGCTTGAGTACGGCTCACCCATTTATTGTCCGATCACAATAGGTGAGGTGCAGAGACTGGAATGGGTCCCACATGTAGCTGCCTAGCTCATTCCCAGTCTACGGAGTATATGGTACGAGGACCAACGTAAGACACTAAGGTGGTATACCCTGTCATACCGTCTGCTTCGATTTGATCTCATGATGACGTACCGGATATTGCATCTGCGCCACTTCCGTATATTGAGGCCGCTGCTGCAGGTTCGCGCATCAGCAGCACACGCGGACACCGGTACAAACTAGTGGTACCGGATTTAAGGCGCAGAGCTCATCCTCTATGCTTCGAGGAGACAGTGGTCGAAGCGAAATCGGTGTCGGAATGTAAGAGCTTCCTTGATGTCCATTTTGCAGACTACAGGTATAAGGAGCGTAGCGCACCCGGATAAGATGTAGTGCAGCTGTAATATGCAGCCACCGCGCAGGATCAGTGACATGATTCCATGCAGGTGTCTGATCTAACTACGATGGAGCAACACAGATTTATATCTTTCCGATTTCTAATTTCAGTATTCAGTGTTCATCCCTTTCACTATTAGTAGAGACAATGTATGGATACCGCCAATGGGGAATAAGTGAAGGAGAATGCAATCTAGGACCCCACATCTTGGGAGCACCGTGCGGACACAAATAACCATCTACTGCGGGAAGGGATGGAAAACATTCTCTGCACGACGGCTATCTTGTGGCCCGTGGAACGCTCTTCCAAGTTTGTGATTTCTGAGGCCACGTGACCCACTAAAAATGACGCCACAGTGCATTGTGCTCACCAACCGGCAGGAAATCGGGATAAACGGGCATATTGTATGTCAAGGTGGACATTATCGTGAGTGCACATATGCGCTTGTCATTTTATTGCCACATTTTTTTTGAATTTTAGTTACTCACGCAAACCATCCCACGCTACCTGTAAATACTTGGCTTTTTTCCGCGCAATATACCATTGTTCCATTTTGTCGTACACAACCAAACCCCGTCAATAGCTCAGCATCAGATTTACGCCCAACAGCAAATGTGCCACAGGTCTTCTGCGGAGTGCGAGCGTAGTGACAACATTCAGAAACGCTGCCGGTGGAAATACGGTGTAACTTCTTCCATATTAAAGCTGAAGACACACGGAAGGTAAATGACCATATTCCGAAGCAATACGCTCACATTCACTGATTGCTTGTTTGTTAGATCACCTTTTCATGAATAAAAGGAGAAATACTCACCATTTGAAACAGATCAAAAACCCCGCCGTATAGATGGAGCTAAATAGAAGTAGATTAAATTCTGTGCGATCAAGTTTCTGACCAACGGCACGGGTCGTAGTGAATATACAAAGCAATATTTCACTAGGCTTTGACGAGACCATGTCAACATCACAGAGAAGCTACAGCATCTGGCCTTAAACGAGAGGGATAGGCGGATGGATACCGAAAACATGTATCGCTAGCGGTGGATCCCCCAACTGATGAAGAAAAGGCATCACTTGACTCGTATGTGCAGCGGATTGCATTTAAACGGCGGCAGGAAACGGAGCTAAAACTGAACAAGAAGGTCAGCCAGGTCAAGTTCAAAGGGGAATATTTGAAGGGAACCTGAGCAGTACGTTCACAACGTTTTATTATTGCAGTTAGATGGAACCACCTTTGAAGTTCTGTTGGCTTAATTCAGGATACGGACAATTTGATATAGAAGTGCAGTGGCGTAGCAACTACTTTTGCTACTCGGGGCGGTTACAAAATTTTCGCCTCCCCCCTGGCAGCTGTAAATCAGCAAACGCACAAAATCGCTTCAGGGTAAAGTGCGTATCGGTTTTCGATGAAAGGGATGATCATTTGATACACTGAGGTAAATGTAGTGAAAGTGCCCACATAATGGGATAAGTATGGAGATCGCTGGGTAGAAGGTTTGCACAGGTGTGACACTTGGCGCACGGGTTTTGTTGATCGTACATAGCAACATAAAAATACTCAACCCACAACTTATATGGAAATTTTGGCTTTTCTAGTTTATATCGAACAATCAACGGTACTAGAAATGCCGCCCGTTACATGCCGTCCGGGACGGACCGTCCCCCTTATGCTACGCCTCTGAGTAGTTGAATTGGTGCCTCCAAGCGAATGTAATGTTGGAAAGGTTAAGGCCAACATGGTTCAATCTGTTACCAGTATCTGACCTAGTCAATGACAGCCAGGAAGTTGCTGGCAAAAGAGCACTTAAGCGTGTCTCGCACTGTCGAAAAAAAACATTCATTTATTTAGAAGCCGGAAATACTGAGGGAAAACGAGGAGATTATACTCTTGCGGCCAGACAAAGGTGAGGGCATTGCTATTATGGACAAAACCGAATAACACCATAAATGTATTATATGTGAACACCTCAAAATTCGTAAAAAGGTCAAGCACGAAGAAAACCCGACGACTGAAAAGGCCTGTATACTACGGATGTCAGACCTTTTTTAGACTATCGCATACCACCACTTCCTCCCCCACCAATCCTACCCCTATCACGTGCGATTATGAATCAGAGATTAATCAAACTATTGGAGTATGTACTTCATTCAATCCAGTACGATCTGGAGCTCAGTGTGCCTCAACTACCTCACAACACACAATTCTCAGATACAATGACGATGAAACCAACATTACCCACCACTTTCATTCCATGTTAACAATGTCTTTCAATGCTGTCGTCATTAACATTCGTTCCCTTTTACCTAAATTAGATATACTTTCAACACTTATGTTTATGAGATCCCCCGGTATTGTTTTTATCACTGAAACTTGGTGCACGTCAGAAATTAGTGATTCTCAGTGTAACATCCTAGACTATAAGCTTTTCCGCAAGGATCGCTAGCACAAACGTGGTGGTGGCTGTGCCATATATCTTCGAAATAACCTGACTGCCATTCCCGCAGATCAACCTGTGTTCATTGACTTAGAAGATACACTATGGCTAGTGATCCCATCTATTGATCTTCTAGTGGGTTGTATCTATCGGCCGCCCCGAACTACTCAATTTGCAACCCAAAAGCTAATCGATATGATCAATGCTGCTTCCAGCACCACATACAAATCCAAAATTATGTGTGGAGATTTCAACCTACCACATGCTAACTGGACGTT